CAGACGTCACAGTTTGCAGGCTGCGTTGCGGTGGATGGAGGGAAGAGAATCGACGGAGGCTTTTGATTTTGCTTTCGGTCCTATGGAAGAATATTTGGATGAGTTGCGGACTCTGACGCTGGAAGGCAAGCCTTTCGGTGTGCTCAGCTTCCGGCACTGGAAGAGTCAGTTGCGGTTGATCGAGGGCTGTTGCAGCGGGCAGACAGGCGTGGTTTCGGAGCTTTTGACGTTTGGTGCTGCAGGTGAGATTAGTCTTTTGTTCACATTCAAGACGGTCGGAATTCCCCATCACCCGCGCGTGTCTTCTTGGCCTCCGCGCAGGGGTGGCTGTGGCCCAGCTGAAGGAGGCTATTTGGGACTGTCGGAAATTGCTCAGAGAGTGGGATGTCGTCGGTGCATCATTCTGTCATTATTTTCCGTCCACTGCTCGCGCGATCTCTGGAGTGCTTTCTCTGTGAAGAGTCCTGAAGGCCGTTCAGTTTGGCGACATGCGACCCGGGATGGGGAGCTGCGGCAGACTGGCAGCAAATGTCATGGGGGCTTATCTGGGGTGCTCTTCTGGAGATGCGGCCTAATGATCAGCAGCTTGTCCCGCGGAGCGCTGGCCGGTTTGGGTTCGCCTGTCCGTTCTCGGAAGGAAGAAAAAGCTGCTGCTCTGTGCTCATAAGACGCGCGCCGGCATCCAAAAGGCGCGCAGATTCAGACTCCTGCTCTCGAGACGGTCCTTCGCTGCGCTTGCTTGGATGTGCACTTGCAAGTGACAGTTTGTTGGTTTGCTTGTACTTCTTGCTCGAGTGGACGCCAATCTCCTTGTGTCGTTGCTAGCCTGTGGACCTGCAATCGGCTTGAGTGACATCCATACAGACACACACATACATACATACATACATACATACATACATACATACAGACATACACACACATACATCCATGCATACATACATGCATACATACATACAGGCGTGCAGGTATTGATACAGTCTTTGTGTCCGATGACCTGATACTTCTTGCGACACCATAGTCTTCTGTTGTCGTTGCTGAAGAGGGGGCATCGCTTCTTGACGACTTCCGCTCTCTCTCCCTCTCTCTCTCTCTCTCTCTCTCTTTCTCTCTCTCTCTCTCTCTGTCTCTCTCTCTCTCTCTCTCTCTCTTCATGCAGTTCGCCAGGAAATCGCACGGAGTCCCACCGCCCCCAAGAATAACTGGCCATCATCGCCATCCGGGAGGTTGTCGACGATGGCCTGCTGGAAGACGCACGCATACACATGCATGCATGCATGCATACTTACTTACTTACTTACTTACATCCACCTATCCATCAATCCATCTATCATTGGGAAGAAAAATATGCGAAATGTACACGTGACCATGTACATATACATATACATCAGCTGCAGCTGATGCCGACTTCACGCTCGCGCAATGTGCTCATCGTTTCGTCGCGGAATGTCGTCTCGAGGGTTTGTCATTCTTTTATATATGTCTTCTGATATCGGCGGGCAACGGTATCTTAATATCATTTCACATAGATTCAGGTTAAACTACACATGTGGGGTTCTCCGGTCCTTTCATTATAGTAACTTACCTTAAAATTCATTAACAGCAACCCAGACACTTGCTGTCAGAAGAGCCACTTCAACCATGTTCCACCTGCAAGAAGCTTGCACAGTTCGTGGGGTCTCCATAAATACTTGATGCCAGGATCTAGCTGGGAACTGGGAATCTAGCGGTGAGCAACATATGCTGCAGCCTCCCAGCCTGCATTTCCTGTAGGGCAGCAGCAGGGCATAGGTGACCAGGGAGGCGAGCACGGCCATGGCAAGGAAAATGAGCTGCAGGGCAGGGGACGCAGTGATGGGGAGGGCAGCTGCCAGAAACGTGAAGCAGCCCTTGCGCAGCAGCCTCTCCGTCTCGAACTTTGCGTAAGCTTCTTGGTAGGGCGCTGTCAGGAAGGCGACGTGGAGCTGCTCTTGGGCCACTTTGGGCCCACTGTCGTTGGTCCCCGTGCCGTAAAGGGTCCACCAGGCATGTAGCACTGCCGCTGAGCAGAGGAGCAGACAAGCCGCGACAAGGGCAAGGCCCCCGAAAAAATCGGGTGCTTGCGGCCATTCGAGGCCACTGTCAGGACTTAGCCTGTAGCAAACGAAGTACTTCCCAAAGTGGCCCATGAACTCCGGCCAAAAGCAGTTGATGCCCACAACCAGGCCAACTTGATAGCCTTTAAAGATACTGAGGACAGCGGTGAGAAGCACAGCCAGCACCGTGAATCCAAGGTGGCCCTTCCACAGAGCACTCTCCAGACCTACATAGCCAAGGACACATTGTAGCGACTGCCCTGTTCCTGCGGCACTGCTCGTTTGCCCCGATGTGACTTCCATGACCAAGGCACTGGCTTGAAAGAAAACACCGGCAAACCCTTCTTGCAATTCCTGCGCAGCAGGTGTTTGCAGCATGGCGGACATGATAGTCCCCTCCAAGGTGGCAAAGGACATCAGTTGGTTTAGATAGACACCGCTGGGCTTCGAGGAGCCAGTGTTTCCCAGCACACTTTTGGCCGCGAGGGCAAAGAGCAGGGCGCTCTTTCCTACCCAGAACCCCACTTGCATGGCCGCGTCTTGCAAGTCCTTCGAGCACTGAACGCAGGAGAGAACACTGCTGTCCGCCAGCCGAAATCCTTCCGCGCAGTCGCATTGTGCACAACCAGCACCTCTGTAACCAATAGCACACCTAGAGGAATTTGAAGGGAAGATGCCCCCCTGACAGGCCAGCGAGTTGGGGCAAACTACCAAACGACCGTCTTTCTCTGCCAGGAAACCTGGCTTCATCTTGACTTCGTCAGCAAGACATGACTCCGCCTGCTTCGGGCACTGGTGACAATAACCAGTAAACCTCTCCTCAAGCTGCATCTGACCAGGCGGGCACACTTCGCAACCAGTCGCGTTGAGAGATGGCTTCCCCATGCCCTGCTTACAGACAAGCTCACCTTCTATGAGATCTGGGGCCATTGCTTCAAAAATACAAGCATCCCCACAGCTAACATTTGCCAGCAGCAGCCGCGCGTTTCTCGTGACTTTGAACACATGCCTGCTGCCATTTAAGCGTACTCCCGCCACATTGAGCTCACCTGTAGCCTCCACAGCTCTGCCTCTCAAAGCTGCACATCTGGAGAAAGAAACGCCATCCTGAGCAGCCCACATTGGGCTTTTGCAACATGATGTTTTTCGCTTTGGGCTCTACTCTGCCACTCACTTGGGGCAGCGCACCTCAAGCTTACCTGATTGAAGGGCTGGAATGTGGTACCTGTCCTGGATTATTTTTCATGACTCACCTTGCAAACGGGTTGCAAACCTCACAGCATTTGCTGTGAGCACCAAAATACTGGCTTTAAAATGCAGACCGTCTGTTCTGAAATATAGAAACCGTTTCACACACCCAACAGGCCTTGATAACGAGCAGAGTCTTCCAGCCGGCGCTGACTGCTGCCGGGCCGAGGACGCGACGGCCCTGCCCGTCACAGTCCTTGAAGGAAACGCTAGGCCCAGCAAAGGTTGCTGTTTCTCCTCAGGAACTCAACACCCAGCTCAGGGTCAAGGATCAACCACCTGCCTGAAAGATGTTTTTTCAGAGTCCATGGTCTTGACACCAACGTTTCACAAAAACAATCACCTTTGGGAGTACGCTCAGCTTTGCGTGTGTCTGATTTTCTAGTCACCATGGCAAAGCTGCATGCGTTCGCCAAAGCAATGGGGCCAGCACTACCGCCTCGACTTATCATAAATTCATGTGGTTTGTTTGCATACCCAAAGCCGGCCTGACACGAAGCATGCACCCTTGTGACTGCTTGTAGTCTTCTCGAAAATTGCTGTCCCACGAACAGCCGTAAACCTGCCACAGGCTTTCACTGTTGAGGCTTTTTCGCAGCAGTCGAGCAATTGCAAGCCGGGCTCATGCAACGGCACATACGACACACTGAAGACAGAAACCATAGACCTTGCAAAACCAATGCACATGCATGCAGACAGCCGTCGACTCCTCCCACCGCACTCTCCATACCCACCACCGCTCCGCTCCCCAACACATGCCAATCAAACACCGAACCAGCAAGTCCGGGCCACTTCATTACCTCCAAAACTGCAGAACAAGGACTATTCGCTGCACCTGCAAGAATGCGCAACCCTTCCGGGGAAGGCCGGGGACTAGCAGACCACAAAGTACATGCAAAGGTGATATGTACTTGTTACCAAGTGACGCAGTGACGAGAAAAGCCCCACCACTTGCTGCCCAGCATTTGTGGAAATGAAGCCGACCGTGACTGGTCAGATTTCTTGCGTAGATGCCGCCGCCGGAGCCAGCTGAGCACCTCAGAGCCCGGAAGGAAGAGGTGGCATCAACCAACATGTCCCTTGCTACCTTTACAGCTCCACCACGATCGCCGCGACAATCCTCGAAGCTCATCGATGCGCCGTTTTTGAGGTGCAGCCCACGCGCATACAAAGCTGTCTTCTGGCTGCCAATGAAGGTGCCCAGACCACCATCCACAACAACCTGGCCAACATCGAGCACGCAAGGGCCAAGGCAGCCGATGAAACTGACATGTCCCGTGATAAGCAGGTTGCTGGACTGAACATAATGCTTCGAATAAAAACCCACGAAGCTTATCTCGCCGTTCAGCTCCACATTCTCCAGTATTAGCTGGGCCCCAAGCTGAACCCTTGCCACGCCAATGATCTTGCAATTCTTGATAGTGGCATGGTGGTTCATCTCCAGTGAGCCATTCAGAGTATGCATCCCCTTCTGGCTGCCACAGTCTATGCTTTCCAGCTCTGCAGCTGACTGCAAGAAAAGGATAGCCATCCAAAACAAGGGCACCACCATCGGGAAGTCGAAGACTTGCCTACCTGTTGCGTCAACCAGCTCTCACGATCATTCAACTGTACATGTCCAGATCTCGAGTGCAGGCAGGACCTCCAAAAGTATTAACACATCACCATGCCGGTCCAGTCCATACAGGCTTGTACTATAATACACTATAATATAATACATCATAGCATATTATAGGAAATTCTAATATATTCACCTCGATGCTTACTGATCGTATACCTGAAGCTTTATCAGAATCCCGGCTAACTGCAAGTTGAGCTGAAGTTGCTGCTTAGGACACAAGTGCCAGCTACGGTACAAGTATATTTTCACATACCTTTTATATACGATGTTACACTATAATATACTATGTTATACTATAATATACTATCATATACTATATTATGCTATAATATACTATGATCTGCTATATACTATAATATACTATAATATACGAAAATATTCCATAAGAAACAATTTTTTCCTAGGATGGATCATTTACCGCGATGCAGTTTCCAAGCGTTGGTTAAGTGTTTGTCAAACTCGTGGGTCTCGTGGCGTGGTCATATTCTAGTGGACATTTCATCCTTCTGCAACTGCATGGCAGGACCCTGACAGATACCCCCTGGGTTCAAGTCTTGATGGGCTTCGACAGGCTTGACCTTCTCAAGATTAGGGTCACCCCCCTTCTTGCCCTCGATTCTACAAGCTTATTCCAGGGATCCCAGAAAAGGACCCATGATTTTGACCAAAGCCTCTTTGTCCCTGACCCCTTCGGCTGCTGAGCCCAGGGCTTACTGCAATGGCCATTGTCGCAAAGCCTTGGCGTTTAGATGGTTTATGGTAAAGGCCTTAGGATTAAGAGGCTAGAGTCTAGAGTCTAAAGTTCTGGCCTTGGGGTTTATGAGCATTTGGGCTACAGGGTTTAGGGTATCGATATGAGGCCTGAGATGTAGGATCTAGGCTTCAAACCACATCTTGATTTTCTGCTTGGGAGAGTATACTAACAAAGGCCATTTAACGTATCTAAACTCTTTGGCAAGCCTATGATTTAGGCTGTAGGGCCCTCCATTAGGACGCATCAAGAAAGCGATAGGAGACGGCAGTTGAACCCAAAAGCACGATGTTTCTGGTGGCTTGGACTCAATGCTATTCTGACGAACAATGGCATGAACTTCCCATAATCAAACTCAATTCACAGTCTGCGACAGCAACGCGAATGCCAAGACATGCCAAGAGACACCAGCAAATACTCACGACAAGCAATCTCGGGGAGTCCTTTGTCGCGTCGCAACTGGCCACTGGCTTCACATGGACTTGTCTCCTTTTTAAGAACGCTTGGAAAATACGCCTCCTCGTTTGAAAGCATGAACCGATTTCTCTTGTGAGACATCAACAAGTTGCTAAGCAACACTAAAGCAGCAGCTCAAGGTCTTTCTCGGAACCTGTCTTTACAACACTCCCCGTGAGGGCCACACTATGCAAGCTCTCGCACTTCAGGCACGCTGCACCTGCGGGATTTGTGCCCTTGAGACGCTCCTGTTTTGTTTTTGTGCTTGTGTGTTCCCGCGTGTCTCGCAAACAGGCGTTCTTTAGTCTAGGTCGTAGATACCAAAGACGGCCGCATCAAAGCTGCTGCGTCTGCCTTGCAAGAGCTCTGCAATAGAGGAGTATACATTTTGGCATAGAAACATCTCCACGTGATCTTTCGATGCCGTCCACTCGTGCATCTGTGTGGAACTGCCGACAGACAACGAGCTTCCAAGGATGCGTAGCACGCGAAGCCGTATGACCACAAGTACGTTTGTTATTAAGTTATTCCAACTTGTAACACATGTCTCATACTCATACCAGTATTATCGCTACTGCCATGATGGCTATGTTCGTTGACATTGTCACTCGTCCAGCCATAGAAGGCTAAGCACAATAGCTGCAGTCCAAAGTGAAACACCAAACTAAGTCGAGCACGGCTCCTGTGTGTGCGGCGCCAAGCAGACTAGCTGAGAGCAACCTGTCAAAAAGGAATGCAAAAACTTGTACCAGGAAGTAGGCAAATTTCTGGAAGTGCATGCTGGCATTCTAAGAGGAACACCAACTCACAATCCTCGGCACCAACCTACTCTCGCTCCTCAACCTCGCACACCACTGCAGCCGCCACCTGCACCACCGGCACCACCAAACCCTGAGCCGAATTCAACTTAAGCCTTGAGACAAGAACCCTGAAACCCAGACCGTCTTCGCATACCCTGCTCCAAACTAACATGGCCCCCAACAACGGGTCTATATAGACTAATGTCCTCAAAATAGGAAGGGCTCCATGTTGATTTCGTACGAGTATATACTTCCACAAACCCCAACCCGAGAAGGCCGGCCGCCAACACGGCAGGTCGGCAAGGCCTTGGCTTCGGAGGGTCTAAGCGTTGGAGTTTTCATGTTTTAGGGTTTAAACCTTTTGGGTGGGGATAAGTGATACAAGTTTAGGGTTCTTTGGTCGTAGCATTTTGAAGTGCAGACTTTTGGGTTTAGGGTCTAGGGATGACATGAGGAGGTGTAAGGATTTCAATAGGGGCACTACGTTACAACATCTAAAGGCGTCTCCCAAACAAGAAACCCTCGGGGTGTTTTGAGGGTCGGAGTTTGAGCAATGGCTACCAAAGGAACCGGGGCCCTAAGTTGAAGCCGTTGGAAGGTATGTGCGTCAGAGGTTGTGGCCTGCAGGGCTGAAACCAGATCATGTCCACTCTCACCGAGCTCTTGTATATTTGTATGGCACTTCCAGCCGTTCAGCCAGTAGCACTGGCAATAAATGCAGAAGTGTTGATATTTGTCAGCGTCATCATCATCATCATCATCACCATTGTACCAAAGGGAATCCTGCGACGGCTAGTCTCTCTGGCTGGGTGGCACCTACAGCTGCAAGATGTCCAGGATCATAAGCTGTGTTGGCACGTGGGTCCCCGAGCAGGGTTTGGTAAGCAAAAAGAATACGTGGCATGTAGGAAAAATGTAGCGGCTTCTCGATTTATGAACTCCCTGCCAAAGAGACATACTGTACCCCTGATTGGAAAGATCCTCAAAATCAACCTGCACCTTATCCTGCACGCAACCCTCATCTTGAACTAAATTCCCTACAATGCATCTCAAC